AGAGAATTGACTCCTGAAGCTTTTGCTGAGAAAATTCATATTTTAATAGCGGATAAAGAGTTAAGACTCAAATTGGGAAGAGAGGGAAAAGCTAGGGTCGTTGAAACTTTCAGCTTCCAGGCCTTTAGCGATCAGTTGAATAAGACTGTTGATCGTTTACTAGTTTAATTCATTTGAATTTATATATTTATGTTCTTGGAAAGATTAAAGTTTTACACTAACAATATGTATTTTGAATAATCTCCCTACTTACTCATCTTACTGATCCTACTCAATTACTCTTGACAAATTATAATCACATTCCAATGAACGATGTGTGGGAGATTATTTCTAAAATGAAACTTATGGTATGAATTATTACATTTAATTTCAATGAAAGGACTAAAATGATTGAATGTTATAAATGTGATCGATCCTTCGAACGCTGCGCTGTTAACCAATTATCTAGTCTCGAAAAGTTTCCACAAATAATCTACTTGATTTCTTTTTCATCAGAAGAAAGGGAAGAAAATATAATTATTGGACGTGGGTGTTCCTTACATTTTTTTAAAGTTATTAAAACATAAACAGAAGCAGCGATAAACAGTGGCACGGCGATAAACATGAAATAAGGAGAGTATGAAGGATAATCCTGATCAACGCCTGTACTCTGTCGGTCGGACCAATGGATTGCCTCTTTATTCGGTCCATCATTCTCTTCTTGCGTCGCTTCATTTGTAATGACTATCCCTGATTTACTGAAGTACTCTTCAGTAGTTTCAGTCTCCAAGTCTCTTGGATCCTCATCCGAAAACTCCTCAGTCATTTCCTCTTCCATGTATTTCGCATAATTGAGCGTACGGATTTTAAATGCCAGGAATCCTCCATAGCCAGGGGATGATTTATAAAATAGTTCAATACCAGTCAGGGGAGCTGACGGTTTAGTTTCCACGGGCTGGGCATCCAATAGCGGAATGGTCGTTTGTCCAACATCTTTTTTAAAATTTGTCCACCCAAAACGCACGTAACTATTCAATTTGAAATCAGGAGTATTCTGATCCCTCGGCTTTCTCTGATTCAGTGGACTGTCAAGATTAACCATATTTACTCTTCGACTGGAAAAATTTAATAGACTTTGACAAACACATTCAAAACATATGTAAAGAAAATGGAATTCAATTTATCACCTGTGACAGGTTGATGGAGACTGAAATCCTTCAGTAGTTGTTAATTCACCAGAGGTAAAATTGAATTTAGCATATTCTAATTGTAGCTTCACATGCCTACCTTCTGCACAGTAATCCGAAAGACTAAACTTAATGCCTGGAAGAGCAAAATATGTTATACCTGAGAAACTGGGCATAAATTTTAAACCTCTTGAGTCCTCCGCAAGGATTTTCAATCCGATTTTTCACATGCGCATTATCAACGCGGAAATGGAAAGGATATCGTTAAGATAATTTAATAACTTACCCGTAATTATTTCTGTTTCTGGTCTGTTTTCAAATATGTCATCAAGATCGATATAATTGTAGTCCGAACTGAGAACAACGAAGTCTTTTCCATGTTTATAATCAGACGAGCTAAATCTAGCCGCCCGATACGAAGCATATGATAGATCACAATCCCTCCATTTTTCCGAACCCTCTTCAATTTCACCCTCGGGGAGTAATTTTCCTTCTTTTATCTGGATGCAGATGATTGACTCGTGTCTCGAAAACTTGACTCCCGTGATAACCCTAGAGTAAAATTCGGGAGAACAAAGTTTGGCAATTTAATTGTAAGGCATGTGCAATAAATAGTGAGAAGAAATCAGCGTACATGTTGTTTGTAGTATTGCTTCGTGACGCTCGTAAGCTGAATGCCTGCACTTCTACTGGCATTCTCCACTTGTGTCCTCCTTGACATGTGCAGATGCAATTTTCACACGGAAATAAACTGAAGATAAAAACTTTATCGTTTTTGTTAACTGAATATACACAAATTTTTATATATGTTCTGCCCCCCCCCCCCTCACTTTACCAAAATTTTCCAATTTTTTTAGTTTCATAAGAAATTATTTATCTGATAGATGCGAGAAGTGATTATTTAATGATCCCGTTATTTCTAAATGAGTTTTTCTTGTTATAAATAAAATAACGAATGAAAGTAATAATCTCACCGTTTTCGCCAGCCAGGGGTTGCAAGTTCTTGCCCTTGGCAGCCATTTTTATTGCCATAAATGGTACCGTGTCGATCTTCGATCCATTCGTATCGTCTCAATTCACTTGGCTGCGAAGAAAATTAATTTCTATGAAGGTGATAAGTTCTGCTAGGAAGAAAAATAAAATCTGACCAAGAAAGAAATGAGAGAAGTCTTTAGCTATCCGAAAGCCGAACCAATTCCATTCCAATGATGTAATTAAATTTAATGACATTCCGCATACTCACTCTAATGCAATATCGCGAGGTTTTCAACTTCCAACAATTATGAAGACGTGCACAAAGAACCCCATCGTTGTCATTTCTGTGAGGGCTGACATCAATAGTTTCACATGTTCCTCGACACGAGTCTTTATAGTTTAAATTATAGTCCTCGACAAGTACAGCTTGATAAAGGTGTTCCATTTCGATGTATGTTTCATCTAAAACCCCGAAATTAATATTTCATCATTCGCAATTACATTAAAATATAATTTTAATTTATATTGTGCTACCTCTGATGAAATCTGTGGGATCACATGGGCGCAAGCTCAACGAGGAATTATTCATGGAACTCTTGAATTTGTTGAAGTAATTCTGCAATCTTTCTCGTCGTTCAACTTGAGCTCGTTTGAGTTCGAAATGAATACTAACTAGAAAGTTGAGCAATCATCATGAGAATTTTTAATCAAATCATGTAATAAAACATAATCGGTAAACATAATCGTAATCGGTAATAAAACAATCGACAAAATGAACAACAACTCACCATTATTCAATTGATTTTGCAAATAGTATCCGAAAGTTAAAGCGACCTGGCCCATCAGCTCGGTTGTAACGACAACTTTGTGTAATTGGTATAAATATTGATTGGGCGTCTGGACATCGCCACATAGCGATTTTCCCTTTGTCTTAACATAAACAATAAACAATAAACAATCATCAATTTAAATATCTGTATTATCTAAAATGAACGAGTGAGATCGAACGCATATCTCGAGGAGATGGGAAAAAAATGATATAGTGGTCTCACTTGCACATGATGATTCAGAAGATCCAAAAAGCTTTGTTTGAGATTGTGCGCAGTTGTTGGTACAATATAATCATACAACTTATAGAGACTATCTCGCAGATCCCCGGATTGTCTTCCGGTTAGTGTATTCGCCAGATTCTGCAGTTCCACTTTGTTATGCTCATTAATATTGCTGGAAGTAATGAAAGCCGCGTCATATAAATTTTTAATCTTTCTTATGGTCAGCGCTAAATCTCGCTTGATGCTGTCAATCTCAATTGTTAGCGGCAGGTGAAT